ATTATCAGAAAAGCTGATTTGAACCATAGCAGAAAATACACGTGAATTTCTTCCAGATTTCTTTCAAATTTAGGCTCTTAATTTGTTTTCGTTAGCATTACTGCCACACTGAGGCAAGTCAAAGTGAGAAAAGAGCCAGATAAACTTCAACAAATCCAAGAACGAATGAACAGCGAGAAAACAAAACAGACTTCAGCTAAAGGTACGCAGCAAATACCGCCGTGCTGGCGCTCGACATGCAGGAGCTCTCTCTGCCGTCAGCTTTGGGTACTGTTGCAGCAGGCAGAGTTTAAGCTAAGCTTCAGGGAACGGAAGTTAGCCGTACTGTAATGAGTTACAGCAATTGTTCTCCATCCGAATCAAACAATTTTGACACCACATAAAAATTAACTTGAAATTGGGAAAGTTGTGCTAAAAAGGACCAGGGCTTTCTGGAGAGCAGCTTACATCTGTGTCAGTAAATCCAGAACATTTTGGTGAATTTCTCTCTTCATGGTATGACGAATGAATCAATGAATGCATACATGATGCTGCCCAAAATAACAAACCCATGAAACAAAGCAAAACAAAAAAAATGTTGAAAATATCCTAACTTCTGAATAATTTTTCCATTGTTTGTGTGAGAGCTGTGTATATTGAAAAAGCATTATGGAAAACATTGGAAAGCAAAAACAAGATTAAGTAGAATTATCAGATAGGAAACACTGAAATGAAAAAAGGTAAACTGAAACATTAATAGCAGTGGCAATAGCACATATTGTCTCTCCAGTAAAGTAGGAAACTCAGTTTGCTAGTGACTCGGTTTGTGTATCTGGTGATGATATGAGGCTGGCAAGTTCCTGTCAGAAGAAAAATGCAGGTCATTGCTTTTCGCAGGTGAGGGAAAAGGCCACCTGCAATGCAGGCCATTGTACTACACAACTTCAAATATCCTGAGCTAGGAGAACATGTGTTAAACAGCTTCTTCTTCCATTTGACCATGAAAAGGCAGTTTTCTAGCTGTGAGATCTTGCAAACGTACCAAGCAGTCCACTGGCTCACTTCTTTTTACACTTGTGAATGTCCTATGCTAACACTCCACTACACACCAATCCTTCTTCAAGCAGAAGCTGAAGAAGAACGAACTTGTATTCCTTGAGCACTGGGTTGATCTGTTGATTACTTGGCCTAGAAGATTCTTCCAACCACAAAACCTCCCTGTACCAGGTGTAGCTGAACAAGCCTGATGTTTCGTGATGGGCAAAGGGTAAAACATTTGCTAGTTGTACATGTGTGTACAAAACACACTCTTTTCTTGTTATGAATCAGTCACAATATAGTTTCCTGCTGATAAAACTGACCTTTGTTAAATTGCTTAGTGAATATTTTGGTCTCTTTTTCCAGATATGCATGTCTAATTTAATGAAAACAATTCATTATAAGTCACAACATTAGGTGGAATCATCAGTAGAAAGGCTGAACCTCAGAATGTTCAGAACTCAAGTTCAAAGGCTTAATAAGAAATTTTAGACCTTGTAATTTTGCAGAATTATTACAAAATAATTACAAAAAACTCAATTAAGAATAATTTCTTCATGTACTACCTGTCTTATGGCAAAATAAAGGAAAATGGTTGCATAAAACTTTACTGCATAAAAATATATCCCACTGCATCTTTCCAAAGCCGTTTGTCTCAAGTACTGACCTTGTGTAAAACATCTGACATTAAAGAATTATCCATCTTTATGCACATTACATACACTTCTATAGGTTTGGTGCAGAGGGGGCCACCAGTGGAGCTGTACCCATTTGCTCCAGTTACTGTATTTGTTCCAGTAAAGCAATTGATGACATTGGCAACTGCAAACTGTTTACACAGATCTACAGAGTTGTTGCATTTCAACACAAGCTTTAGTATTTTCTCTATGTAGACATTGATGAGATCAGTCATCCCGAGCAAGATGTGAATTTTAAGACCCTTTGTTACCAGCTCCCATCAGCACAAAATTAAGAATTACACCATGGTTACGAAAGAATAACTACATACTTAGCAAAGGGTTTCCCACTAGTCTCACTGGTTTGGTGGAATGACTTGGCAACAATGAGGCAAGCCTTTGCCTTAGTGGAAGATCAGATTCCAACACTCCCTGTTCTGCTCATCGTTTTTAGCCTTGTGACTACACAGAAAAGACTTCACACCTGTGCTGTTCAGGATCAGAACTTCAGAGATCAGCTTGCAGATTTGAGACAGCAGTGCTTTTAATAACCACTGCACAGAATTTGATGACACAACCTTGGGAAACCATGATCACATTGGTCAGGAAAAAAGAATCAGATTGAGAATGAATGGGTGTAACAATTGCAGGCTATGCAAAACAACAGATAATTTAAAGTGACTGCTTCGGGAAGAAGGACAAAGAGATAGTGACATGTGAAAACTCACTTCAGATTAGGAGGAAAATGTAATGTAGTTGAGACGGGTGAGGACGTTTGTTTGTCTTGGCAAAGAATATTTTATTTCTTTATACTAAGACTCTTCTGCCAGCTGAGCAGTCTGAAAGAATCATACACTTTCCTCTTTATTGTCAAATGGGAGAAGGCATTTTAATGTACTGCTAGTAGGAACCCTCTCGCTCAGAAAACAAAAGAGACCATAGAATCATAGAATGGCTTGGGTTGGAAAAGATCTCAAAGATCATCAAGTTCCAATCTCCCTGCTGTGGCAGGGTTGCCATCCAATAAATCAGGCCCCAGCTCAGGCTGCCCAGGATCCCATCCCACCTTGAACACCCTCAGGGATGAGGCATCCACAGCTTCTCTGGGCAGCCTGTGCCAGCACCTCACCACTTCCTAAGTGAAAAGTTTTCCCCTGGCATCTAATCTAAATCTTCCCTCTTTTGGTTGAAAACCATTCCCCATTGTCTTATCACTATCTACCCATGTAAATGTTGATTATCCTCTGCAAATATTAAAAGATATTTAAAAAAAAAGCTCTTTCAAATCCTCTGCTTTGAAAGTCCATTTTGGAATATTGAAAAACACAATCCTGTGTAAATGTTATCAACAGCTTTAACAGTTTCAGTGATCCTAAACTCATTCTGCTCTTTACTTTGAATCCCTGCGGAAAGTGCTTTATAATCACTGAAAACACACTATAAGAGCTGAATTTATTTTCCTGATAGAGCAGAATCAGAAATACTTTAGCAGTGCTCTCATCTCTCTAGTTCTTTGTGTGAGTAGAAAAAAAGACTCAGAGAAAAAAATTGATACAAAAAAATCCGGATGTTGTAATGTTATCTCTCCCTATTATTGACTCAAAAAACCACAAAAACCAAAACAAAACCAAGAAAACAAAACAAAACCTTAAGCAAACAACTATTCTAACACCACAACTTATGTGTAAAGAAACATGTTAAGTATCCTGGCTCTGGTGAGAGCTGCTTTCCAAAAGAAGAGTCATCTTTCTCACTTGCATTTTACTGAAATAAAGAAGAAACAAGTTTCTGTTCTGATCATTGACTTAATATCCTGGATAAGAACATTAGGCTTGTGCTGACCCACCACTGTATTTCCTCAGAGGAAAGTGTAGCAAACTGAGCTCACGTTAAGCTTCTCCTTTGGGCTGAGTTATGCTCAGCTTTTACCTTCTCAGACACTTAGAATGTGGGACTGAGGTGGCTTTAACAAATGTGATGTAATTGCTATCTTTACACTCCTACAATGCTGGTGGCATAAATTCAGGTCAGTCCCTGAAGTTTAATGTCCAGCTGAGAAAAACAACCAGGTGCTATTGAACACTGTGAGAAAAAAAAAAAAAAAAAAAAAAAAGTATGCAGTATAATATGATAAAAATGGAGAATGTTCAATTTCGTAGGACAATTTTTTTTTTTTAATTTCAAATTATGTCAACAAAATTCAACATATTTACCTGAAAAAAAAACCCAAACCAAACCAAAACACCTGACAGCAACTCCAGAGAGATTGCGAGTGGCAAGTAAGGTGAGAAAAGTATACTTGTCAAAATCAGTTATTGCTTTTGCAAGGGCAGGAAAGTGAAGAATGAACGAGTAAGGATATTTAGAACTGAAGAGACAAATGAGAATGCAGGAAGAAAAGCTCTTTCAGCACATTGCTTTGCTTCATGTGAAATTCCTGTGGATATATAGGGCAGAAGAAATGCTTTCTGCAAGCATTCAGCTTCCTGGCATCCCTGCAGACCTTTGACATGCACCTTACAGCAAGCTTATTTTAATTAGTCTGTGGGAATTGAAGATTTCTCCACCTGAGATCCTCTTTTAGGCAGCTTGTGGGGCTGATCTGCAGCTAAGAAGAATCTTTAATACCCAGTGATGTTAAATATACTGAATATGAGGGAATTTGCTGTCATTGACTTCCACATACTGTATCTGTGCTCCAACACCCGCATGTGTAAAGAAGAGCTTTGTGACTCCTCTCTGTTTCACCTGAGCAACTATCACAGGACAAGATGGCCATGATGGTGGGTTGGGGATGTGGGCAGCTGCCCAAAAAGCTCCAGTCTGCTGTCAACAGATAAAATCTACCATTTTCTGCAACAAAATTCAGCTGGGAAAATGTTCTTTGGTTATCACAACTTTTACCTGCAAGTGATTTTCTCCTTCCGAAGCTTCTGAGCAGCGATAACTGCATCGTGAGCAACAGGTTGGACAGGCAGCAGCAGCAAACATGGGCTCATCCTGCCAGCAGCATAAGAGTTAGTTCTTAGCCTACTGGGAGCGGTTAACTGAAGGGCATCTCCCGATACGTGGTCACACACAGGACGCGTGTAAACGTCCAATACTACAAGCTGGACTCCCTCACTGCCTCGAGGAACAGCGCTAGAATGCAAACAATCCTCCCGGGCTCGCCCCTCACAGGCTCCTTGGTAGGAGGCGGGCAAAGCTCTGAGGTGAGACGGCTCCTGATTGGGCGCTCGGCAGCGAAGAGCTTAACGATTGGTTGGTAGGCTCGCGCGCGGGGGCAGTGTTGTGTTTGGGCGGGAAGGCGGGTCTGCGACCGCGTGGCGTCTCGCGAGATCTGCCCGCTCCGCCTACGGTGTTCGGAGCCGGAGGTGGCGGTTCGGTAAGTGTTCTCGTTGTGTGGCGGAGCGCGTCGGGCTGTGGGAGGAGAGCGCCTCCGTCGCCTGCTTGCCGGAGCGCCCGGTGCCTTTTCCGCGGTGGGAGTGCGAGGCTTTCCTGCTCCGAGGCCCCTTTCTCTCTGCCCGTCACCCCTCAGCCCCCACAGGCCTTGGCGGCGCTCCCCTCACGCGCTCACGGCGGGCCGCTTCCCACGGGCAGCCGCAGCCGCGAGAGGGGCGGCTCGGAGCGGAGCCTCACCTCGTAAGCGAGGCACTTTTCTGTGCTGTGTGAAGCGGCAGGGATTCGGCCCTCGCAGGATCCCCACCGGCGGCTCCTGCGTGTGCTGAGAGCGGGTGGTTTGGTTGGTGGGCGGTGAGGGGGAGGACCTGCCTGTGAGGGAAGGGCTGAACTTCGTGTCTGTGGGCTGCACGGTGCGCTCTGTGTGTCCCGGTGCCCCGTGTGGTTCGTGGAGTGCGGCTGTGAGGAGAGGTCTGTAAGTGCAGAGCTTCAGAATGTCGTCTCTGGAAAAGTCAGAAAGCTGTCGGATGTTTCTGTGTTGTTTTGTGGTCTCGTGGGTTTTTCACTTAAAAAAAAACTTAAAGCTGAGAGCCGTGCTTTCAAAGGGGGAAGGAAAACACTCTGCTTGTCTGGAATTGCTTCACTTGTCATCAGGGAAAGGTGAGCTTTCCTTTCCCGTTTCTTCTACAGTCGCAGTTAATACCCAAATATTCATGGAATATTTGCATTACAAGTCCTATTTTTTTTCCCTTGAATTATTTTAATGCTGATCATCTATGTGGAATTCGTAGTGGCTTAACTTCTAACTGCTGAACTGAGGGAGCTTTTGTGTACTCGTGCCACAGACCTGCAGCATCTGTACTCTGTCTCCTAAAGGCACTTGATGGAGGTGCCTGTTTCTTACAGTGATATTTCTTCTCATATGAGAACTCTAATTATAAAGAGTTATACCAGTACTCTCCAATCCCATGTAGGTTTCTTAACATGACTTGCTTACAGAATTGATCTTAGCATTTCTTGAATTGGGTATAAATTAAGACTAGAGCGGGTATGTGGGACGTTGCGTCCAAGTTGTGATTAATAATACCTGTGGCACTTGAAGAAAGTAAGTGCTGCATTCTTCCAGGAGGACACGGGTCATTTGTAAGAGCTGCTTATCTGCAAATCAGTGTTTGAAGTGTAGTGGTTTGGTTTACATGCATGGTCCAGTTCTCCATCAGTTCTGCATTCTCAGCTGAGTTTCACTCACAAGGACTGCTTCATTTGGCTCTCTTACTGATAGCTCAGTACTTTCACTAGGTAAGAAGGGAAATCCTTCCATCAGTAAAGAAATTAACTCACAGGTCAAATGTTATTGGTGGAAATCAGTTGTGTTTCCTTTTTCTTAACGGAGATGAGCTGGGACACACAAGGCTATAGGAAGCTTTTAACTTTACTTTTATAAAAATTCTGAGTGTATTTTATCCTCCCGAGTTTTGAGGCGGCATAAAAGGGGCAGCATTGTTTTTATTATCCAAATTTATGCAATGTAATGATGATTAGAATTTTGATTGTGAAGTAAGCTAAATAAAGCCTGCTTTCACATACAGATAAATCAAAAATTAATCATCATGCTTCAGTTTTCTGGCTTTGAAGTCATTGGTAAAGCTGGATACTTTGTTTGTGTTTACTTAGGACTGCTGAAAGTCTGCTGTTATAGCTGTGACTGATAACTGCAAAATTTCATGTTTCTCTTGCATTAATTATCCTATTTTCAGATGGTCTTACTTGCTGTCCATCCCAATACCTCATACAACTGATAGCATTTCCTCGTTATTTTGTGTGGGAAGACTTAAACTTTTATAACCTGTTGTCATGTTGGCTTTAAATCTACGTGCAGATGTTTTTAAGTTGTCCAGACGTGCGTCCTCTGATCAATTTTGCATTTTGCTGAAGATTGTGCATTCTTAGCATGCGCCACAGAGTAAATGTAGAACACCAGTAGTGGGTAGGAGAGAGATGTCTTTTTTTTTTTTCTCTTTGCTAATGTCAGCTTTGACAAAACTATTGATGGAAAATGATGATGGGGGGAAAAAAAAAAAAGCATTATTTTGTTGTGTATGCTGTACATCTTGATAATACTGATCTGAGTACACTTGAACATTATGCAGAAAGAGAATTGCTGGTATGAATGTTCTGAGTACTTTATGTATTGAATGGAATGGCTACGTTTTGATAGTTGTAATATCTAACAGTCTAAGTCTTTCAGCAAAAGATTGCATGGCATAAACCTTGATACTGTCTTGTTCTCTCTTGTCTCCTAGAAATGGGCCTGTTTGTAGAAGATGCAGTGCACTAGATGTGGTGCTTGGAACAGAATTAGTCATGGCATCAGAACTGTGTAAAACAATCTCAGAGGCAAAGCTGGAAAAGCACAAGAATTTGTTCCTAAATTACAGGAATCTCCATCATTTTCCTTTGGAGTTACTGAAAGATGAGGGGCTGCAGTACTTGGAGAGACTTTATATGAAAAGAAATTCTCTGACCACATTGGTACGACAACTTCTTTACTGTGATGCTTACTGTCTGATTTTGAAATAGAAAAGATTAAAGAATGTTTTAGCAAATTTGATCCTGAATGACGTGATCCCTTGTGAAATACAAGTACACGGTTGTGTTATGTTCTAACTTGGATGGATAACGTAGAGTATAATAAATGAAAGCATATGCCATTTTTATAGATACTCTCAGAGCTCTGAAGATCCAATTTTTTGTTTGTGTTCCATAATAATTTTTTTAACTTGTAAATCTTGCTCCAAGTGTCAGTGGTCAGGTCTTTCTACTGTTAGGAGATGTTAGCTGTTTAGTTCAGCTGCATTAGCTTCAACATCGCTGACCTTCGTGTACACTTTACTGTAAAGGCAATGGCAATCCCAAGATCTAATACTGAGCTTTCTGTTAAGGTGCCAGTTGAAACTTGTTTTCTGTAAACTGCCAACAGGAGGAAGAATAAACTGTTAAGGGTTGAGGGGGGATGGTGGTTGTTTTTGACATCTCTTGCAGTAAGTAGTAGTTTTTAAAGCTTTGACAATGATGCATTAGATTTCCTTAATAAAGGCTTTGTTTCACAGCACAAGAGCTGGGAGGATTCTGAAGGTTTTATACTTTCCTTCATCTTTGAAGTCAATTAAGTTTGCATGAGCTGTAGAAAGTTACCTCGGTACTTCTTGGGGAGGTCTTTTTGCTTAATGATTTAATGGAATTGTAGCATTCGTGGTTAAAAAGTAAAATTGCTTTAAAAATTAACCTGAAAGTCAATGATTACTTAGTGTGTGAGGCTCATGAAGTTTGTGCTACTCAAAAGATGGATCTAATGTGAAGAGCTCTGTGTACCACTTTTCTGTGTGTCTATTTTAAATCTCGGTTTTGTTTTTCTTGAGGTAATAATTATAATTGAGTTGTGAGTTAATGGAACTGAAGCAACACTTAAAATTTAGATCTTACTCAGGCAAATTTACGTTCTAACAGCAAGAAATAGAGAATTAGTATTCAGAGTGACCAGGATAACTTTCCCTTAATATGACTTGCTGGGATCTCATTCAAGTGCATAGTGCTACAGCTATGACTTGGGCAACCAAAATTGGATCTAACAGCATTTATTCAGCAGTATACAGGTTGGAAGTTGTAGTAGACCAAAACAGGTGAAGTCAGCAGCGTGTTCCACAAAAAGGCACATATGTTTGGTTTTTTTTTGTGCATAGTAAGTTTCAGTTTCCATTAAAAACATAAGCAGTTCATTCCTGGATACCATTAAAGTGTAAGCTGAGCAAGGGTTGCAATTTTGTGCTATATACCTAAGGAAAACCTAGCTAAATTGAGAATAGAAAGTAAGGTAAAGAAAGTAAGTGGCGAGAAGAAAAAGCTGCATCAAGGGAATTCTTGAGAAAATGCTCTGTGAGAGAAGGCTTAGAGATATGGGTTAATTTAGCTTTGGGAAAGAGAAGACAGAGTTAAAAAGGAATTGAAGGAAGGGTGAGAACAGCGGACACCTGTATTCTTATGAAACAGTGCTTTCATAAACTTATTATTTTATGTCCATTACTGGTAAGGGGAGTAATACTCAATTTAGTGAAGTAGTAGTAAGTTGCAAAGGGAAACAAGTCTCATTTGAGAATTTAAAAAAAATATACCACTTTATTTAAAAGGTGATCCTGCTTCAGAAGTGTAATTTTAGTGTCTCTTTCAGCTTGTGCTTCTTGAATCCTATGCAAGATGATGAGCAGTGCATTATCAATACATACAGACTTAATTTTGATGGTAGTTAATCTGCACCGTGTTTCTTTAAGGTGGTGCTTCCTTCTGCCTTAACAGCTGATTATATCTGAGTTGAAAAACACTGACCAGCTCCTATGGAAACATTGGAATAGTTACGCTGTCAGAATTTCCCTATTCCTTTCTCAAGAAAAAACTTCTGTCTTTAGTGCCAAGATGAAAATGATAGAAGACTTGCATAGTGATTGGGTCAGGAAGCTCTATAGCATGCCTACATCCCAACTTCAATTTCTTATACCTTCCAATTTAGTATTTGACTGATAACGTTAGCATTTTAGTGATCCTGTTTCCTCATCTACAAAACGAAGTGAGTTTGCTTTCATGACGCTGTCAGAAGCATAATTGAGCCATACCAGAAGGTGGTTCTCAGAATGTGCAATGCTGTCCTGTTGAGACAAATCAGCAGACTCACTTTTTGAAAAATGCCCTCTGAGGATGAGGCAAGCTTCCCTAAACTGGTGGCAGAAGTGATTGATTATTCATCTGTCATTGTTATTAGTTGCTGTGCCTACAACAAAGGCTGCAGTCTGTGTCACTGACTTTACTCCTCAATGCATGGACCATGAATAGTCCCTTTTAATCTTAATGTTGTTGTGAGATGTTGTGTTGAAAGCATTTGACTCGGACCAGTTGTTTTTGTGGCACTCAAGAACATAAATAGAATTTGTGGTAGATATTCTAGACTGTAAAATTGTGAACTGTGGGGTTGTTTCTCTCCTTTAAATTCTTCGTATTTTAAGATAAAGCAGTTCAGGCTTGATGTGAGGTGAAAATGTTTGAATTTCAGATTAGCGTCCTCAATAGAACAAAGGTTTAGGATGGAAGAGCTACTGTTCTTAATTTTCCTTCTTAATTTTCAAGTTGAATGTTGATGTGTTTAATTTGGATCTGAGCACGCTGCAGCCTTTGTATATTTTTCCCGTATTAAGTTTCTACTCGCTGACCAAATAATCTCCTGTTCTGACAAATGTTCTGACACAAACCTTCCAGTAGGTGGCAACAACTGATCAGTTTAGCTTGTTGAGTCCTGAGGTCAGCTGATTAATTTATTACAGAGCCTTATCTGCTGCTCCTTACTTAAAAACAAATATGTTTTGCTGTGCGTGCTCAAATCTAGCATGTGGTGTGCTTGTTGCATAAGCACATCACGATAACTTTTTCAGGTTTATGTATTTATTCGTAGTAAGTTTATGAAACCATGCAAAGTATTTTAGGTAATAAAACAGCTTACATTTGCATGGCAGTGCAGATTGCTAGGCCTCTTTTACAGGAAATTGACAGTGTGGTAAGTCTGCTTTTAAAATTTATTTGGATATATGGATAATGTAAAAAATCTGTGTTTGAAATAGATTTCTTAAGCAGTGAAACTGTCTTAACTATGATTACCGACATTTCAGACTTAGCAAGCCCATTTTGTGGTGTACATTCTTGGTTATAAAGGCCATCGTGGAACAGAGTTGCTATGGATCAGTAATTATAGAAATGATAGCATGTTAACATGCAAATATGGCAATTTAGTTTGTTGGGTTCGGGGTGCCTGGCTTTGTGGTTATTGGTTAAGGTACACAAAACTTTTAGATCTTTTCTTGGTTTACCAGTATTACAAATAAAGTGTTGAAGTGAGATACCTTGCATAGATCTTATTCCCCTTCAAGTCTGTAGTGGTTACAGCTTCTCAGCAGCTCTCAGCCTCAACTAATTCACTTTAGAACTTTACTTTTGAAAATATATTGTATTTCATCTCTTCAGCCCCAGAAGTCCACCTACCATTTGTTAGAGGATACGTTAATGTCACTTCTAGGCTGTAGTTCAATGTCAGTAATGAATTGCTCACCCTTGAAATATCCCAATTGCACTGGTGGAGAATATGTGGGGGTGTGGAAATAGGGTATTGTATGCAAGCTTTCTGTTGCAGTTTTTCTGTGAGTAGCTGCTAACGTGTTTTAGTGTGATTGGTAAAATTAGTTGGGTACACAGTGTGTGTTTGTTTTGAAACCTAAAAATCTCTAACTCTTTTTCAGCCAGAAAACCTTGCACAGAAGCTTCCAAACCTCGTGGAATTGTGAGTTTGTGTAGGAATTCTAATATATTCTTATTGTGCTGCTCCATCTCATCTTAAAATAGTTTTGTAATGTATTGCTGTATATTACCTGTGTTTTAAAAAGGAAGGGTTTTATTGGAGACCAAAAAAGGTGCTTTTTCTGTTTTTTCAAATGGTGGTAAATCCAGATGTATTCAGTGTTTTTTTTTTTTGTTTTTTTTTTTAGGATTTCTTGTGTTGAATAACAAGAACAGTTATACAAGTGCTTGCACTGTCAAGGGGGGGAAAAACACCTATCTAAACTGTTGTAATTCTAATACAAAGTACTTGAAGCTCCAAATGCGATGGTTGTGACAGAGCCAGAGCCCATCCCTGTTGCACATTGCCACTCCAGCTATGAGAGCTATAAAGTCTTCAGTCTTACTGATTCTAGAAGGTGGTTTGTGCACCATGGCTGTTTTTTTTTTTTTTTTAAGTCAAGACAAGTAGCAGCAGGAATGTGCAAGTATGAGTAGTAACAGCTGGAGACAGAATGGATTACCCAGTTTTGCCCACAGAAGGGGCACCATGTGAACTGTTTTCTTTTGGCAATTAAATTGAAGTTGTGAAGCCTGAGCCAACAGTTTCCCTCACTCCCTACTTTTTGTTGTTGTTAAGGCTGTATTGTCCTTGCTTAATGGAATTGGAGGATGGAGGATAAAAAGGACATCCCCACATCCCGCTGTAACTCATTTTTCTCATTTGTAGTTTGGTAATTGACAGATCAGTGCTTCTGTTTAATGAAATGCTCCAAACAGGAGGTGGTGTGAGTAGTCTAATGCGTTCAGCTGTCTGATCTTGTCATCTTAATTTGGTCCTTGAGGCCACACCTTTCTGGTACACATGACCAGCGTATAATTGAACTGTTTTGTATGTCACTGACTGCAGCCTCCAAATTGCTTAAGTAACAGTCATGTCTCATCATGCTGGAGTCTTAAGAGTTTGTTTATGCTGCTGAGCAGTAAAATAAATACTACTTCATATATTTAGTGTTTAATGATTTGCCATGGGGTATCAGGAGATCTCTGCTATTTGATGATGCCTTTAGGGAAGAGCTTTGTAAATTATAACTTAAAATAATATCTTACAAGCACCGACTGTAAGAGTGATACCTAATTATTTGAGGTTCAGCAAGCATAGCTGTACCACCATTATTCTTTACGTTCTAGGGAATTGCAGTGAGCCTGTGATTTGTGTAACTTTAATAACAGAAGCCAGTGTTTGATCAGACAGTAAGAGATGTTCATTGTCAAAGAAGAGTCTGCAATATTTTCTAAAAAAAAACAAAATTTGTTAGTTTATTATAGACAAATTTCACTTTAATAAAAATGAAAATTGGTAGCAATTTCACTGTACATTCTTAAGAACTGTACTGTTGTCTACTTATATACATTGTGTTTGTCATACTGGGAGGCCTGTTGTAAATCCTTATCATGTACCTTTTCTAATTTACTGATTGAAATAGTCGAGTATTTCTGGGAGCTGCAGGTGAAATGAGTAGGAGAATTCTCGTGTCAAGGCTACAAAAGAAGGTTTTCACAAAAACATTGGCTATCCTTTTGCTTTTGAATATTTATCAGTATTTGAAAATTTCATTAGTGCTATTTTCTACAAGAGCCATTTGTTCATTTGCAGCCGTGTTATTTTAGGCATCAAAATTAAAACACGAGAAATGCATGTTGCAGTAGTTGAGAAGTGACTGGCAGTGCTGGAAAAGTTCCAGCAGGGGGTGCTGAACAATTTTAGTGGGAGAGCTGCTCTCCCTCAGTAACTAAGCGACAATGGGTAACATTGGGTTTGGTTGGGTTTTTTTGTTTTTTCTTTTGGAAAAATATACTCTAGATCTGAAAAACTCAATTAGGGTGACTGCATCATTTGCATTCATTCAGTCAGGTAAGGCGCAAGATTATTTTTTTAAGTATAGAGGGAAATGTTTCTAATTGGAATAGCTTCTGTCAGGTGTTTTTTCTTTTCTTGCATTCTATGTGGGGTAACCTGATGGTCAAGTATGGTTGGCTTTACTTATGCTGTCTGCTTCATTCTTTTTCCTTGATGTTTTTTTCTTGTGACTCTCAGAATTGAAGCCCATTATTTTAACTGTGAATGTTCCATTTTAAATAATTGTGTCATTCTGTTTTATTTTTAAGTTTATCATTAGTCTTAAGTGAAACTTAAGTATCTGTCCATTGCCAGTATATGTGGTGTCCACAGCTTTTATGGTCATAAAGAGGAATGGCTGTGAGAGTGCTCTTTCAATCTGAAATTGGATATTTTGCAAACTGATTATGTAGCAGAAGTCCTTGAGGGTAACAGGTGGTGTCCTCTGCTTTTTTTTTTCTCCTCCCCCCAGGTACCTTCATTCAAATAACATAGTTGTTGTACCTGAAGGTAAGTAATCTACCAGCTCGCATAAGTGGCAGGAATCATAAAATATTCATTTTTCTTCTTTGAAGAGGCCTATCTTTTTCTTTATTTTCCCATAAAACATTAAAGACTTTGATACAAAACATACCAGTATAGCTTTTAGTTGATAATATCCTTGTTTATGTTATATTAAATTCTTCTAATGAACTCTCAAATGCATCTGAACGCTGGTTGCTTCAATTCTAATTGAAGAGACTGGAATGGCTAAGTGGCACTCATCTACAGAAACAAAAATCCAGAGCGTCTTCTGCTCTGAGCTGCTTACTACCCAGAATACTCTGCTGGTTTATGTCATGGCACTTTTGAAACTTAAAATATCAAGAACTTGTATTAGTCTCCTGTGCATTAAATTTAGATTTCTGTGTCCAACTTCAGTGCAGTACTTTAAGCTCTGTTGGTACATATAGATTGGATAGATGCAAAGGAATAAAAGTGGAAAAAAAAGTGAGGTTTTCCTCTCAACCTCACTGCCAGCAATAAAGTTTTTTAGATGAGCATTTTCATCAACTGTGTCATTCAGTTCTCAGACCGACTTTAATGCATCAAAATCTGCTGCTGCTTAGGTGTAAGGTACTGTGGCTTTTTATCCCCTCGTAGTCCTATTAAGATTTTAACGTTACTGTTGGGTCACATTCATGTTTTAATCTGTTCTCTCGCAAGCCATTGGCTCCCTCGTTAAACTGCAGTTTCTGGACCTAAGTGATAATGCCCTTGAAATTGTGTGTCCAGAGATCGGTCGCCTGAGATCTTTGCGTCATCTTCGTTTGGCTAACAACCAGCTGAAATATTTACCTGCAGGTAAGTACAAACGAAGTCTTAAAACAATGGCAAAACCCATTTGATCTTCTTTGGCACAGTGATTTGTTCTAGGTTTACTCAGGTCTTAAAGATGGAGCATGGCAAAACTTGAAGGTGAAGATGAGGTGGGTATTACCACTGCACGGTACTGTGCCGAATGCACTTAAAGAATAGTAAGCTGTGCAGTACTGATGTGAGGTGGAGGAAAATAATGAAAAATATTTCTGAAGAGGAAAATAAAGTGTTTATGTAACAGCTGTTGCCATTGTAACAAGAAAGTCTGGAAGTTACTCAAGAAGACACAAAATGCTAATGACAAATGTCATTATGATAAAATGTTTATTTGGATTTAACTGAGTATAAAGTATTCCAGTTCTCCTTCTATCTTTTAGCCAAACAGCCTCATGCTTTTTCAGAAAAGACACGTGTCCAGTAGCTTTGCCTATGGCAGTTCTACCTCAGCATGACAGTAGATAACAAATGCTGCTCTTACTGGCTTATAACAAAAAAGCAAAATGTATTCCAAGTAAATGTGACACAGAGTCAGAAAAAGTTGGCCATAGGCAAATTTTGAATTTTTTTTTTTTTTTTTTTTGCTTTCTAAGTACTTTGATAAGCAAAAGTAACTGATTTCCCTTCTTCCATCTTCAATCTATCTGTCCAGATCAGATAACAGTAACTTTTGAATTTTTTTTCACTGTTTTACTTTTTCTTCTTGCTCTGGGGTGTTTGCCTTTTCTGATCTGCAGAGAAGATAAAATGTAAGGCCAGCATTTAAAAAAACAAAACAAATAAAACAAACAAACAAACAAAAAAACTGGTGTAACTTAATCTAATAGGATTAGCTTTTGGCTCTAACTTGAACTAAATTTTCAGTGTGACTTTCATGTGTTAAGTTCATGTGGCTTATTTGCAAGAGATATACTGCAATTTCTTTGAAGTCTTGGTTGCAGAAATCTAGGTAGTCCTCTCCTTGTACTTTTCTAGGCATACTAAGCTTTGTAGAACCAGTCAAAGAATGATTATGATTAGAAAGGAAAAATAAATTGGCTTTGTAAATGCTCTGGAATGAAATTAGATAAACCTGTTAAACATTATGACCTAAGGCCAGTAAAATTTCCATCAATTTTAAGATGTCCTACATTCAAGAGAAAGGAGAGTTTTTGAATGCGCTTTATGTTCCTCAAAGATAATTTACCTTATGGTGCTGTACCATGAAAGAAAGACTTGTTCAAAGAAAAAGTGGCACATTTGCTTCAAAACTTCACACATTAACTTAAAAAGGTTCCAAGAAAAGACTACTTTCAAAAGGATAATTTACATTACTGAGGAGCTGATTTCAAGTCTACCACATTTGGAGGTGGTATCAGCGGCGTGTAAAAGCTTCGTTTAATTTGCTCTGAAGTGTACCAAATTTCGTACTGAACATCATCAGAAAAAAGTGATTTTTTCACTTTAAACATATGAAAATTTTGCATGTTTAGAAACAATACTACTGTTGCTAATTTTATATTGGGGAACCCATTGACGTCTGTTCTTTGTTTCTGTGATGGAGTACCGTCAGTGTATGCGTATGTGATTATTGCTATCGTTTCTAATCCTCTCCGTTCAGATGGTGTCAGTGTCATCATGGCTGGATGTCACGCAGCAGGAGTGTTACCAGTCCAAGCAAGATTTATCTTTCCCTTACACTTGAGAATGTGCCCAGCTAATCTACTGCACTGAGTGTTTCTAAATGTAACATTTCCTGAAGAGTACTTGTTTCCTTAGGTTTACATTGTCAAACAGTGAAAATTTTAAAGATTACTTGTACTTAAATTTGGAAATACCATTAGTATTGAACAGTTGACAAAATAGAGCAAAGTAGTAGGTTTTCTTAAGTTGTTTTATTCTCACTTACATTGGTAGTATGAATTTGCATACAAGAGAATTAAATAGCATTCTCTCAGGAAAACAAGCAAAATTAATAAAACAAAGCTAGGGTGAGGTATGATTTCACTGCAGAATGTTATTATACTGGGTTGTTGTTAACTGCTTTCTTTAGAGCAGATACTGCATTGCAACATCTTGTTAGGGAAGGACAAACCTTTATTTCTCTTACTTTGTAAAAGAAGTTACCATTTAAGACAGTTTAGCTTCTACAAATGCAGCTTGTGCTGAATGTAGAAAGCTGCTTTAAAGAAAAAATTCTCAGGTAAGGGTGGTGGTCATTTGCAGAAGCAACTTCTCAAAACTGGTGATTATCATTTTACCTCAAACTTTGTCCTACGCAGTTATCACACAAATGGCAGAGAACTGTTTATCACAGCAGGGACTCAGTTAAGAAAGGTTGATTACTATTCACCTTGTGTAACCAACTTGCAGTATAATGATGTCACCACATAACAAGCTTACTTCAGAGTTGTTAGCCTGTCATTCCTCTTCTCTTTCCCTTCCTGGTGTCTGGTGCTCTAAGCACTCCCAGATTTTGTTGAAACTACATGGGTATTTGTAGCAACTTACTGAGGGTACTAATAAATCTTTTTATTATGACTGCAAACATTTGGATGGCAAACAGTTTCTCATATTCATATAGTTAATGATGGTTTTCTATCAGACTTTATATTGTTAAGAATGACTCTGTTTTATCTTCTTCAGTTGTGATTAAGAATTGAAAGAAAAAATGAGTAGCATGTGGTGTTTAATTATCTGTTTTTGATGAGATTGTTCCACAGTTGTGCTATTAACACTCGTTAGTATTTTAGTGTTGCCTTTCAGAAATTCAGCATAGCTTTTATTTTTGAACATTTGAATCAGTGCATGAAATGAAGCCTTATAAAGATGTTTGTTTTCAGTATGACTGTAGATGTTTTTCAGACTTTAAAGACTGAGCATGTGCTGCTGTTTACCTTCAGCATGATGGGCAGAGAGGTTTTAGTGTTTACATATTTGTTCACATAAAGTTTGTGAGAATGGAGTAACTGGAAGGCCTCTCTTCTGTTTCAGGTTTAGTCATGTCTGAGTAGGTTTGAGAAGTTGTCTTGAGAAGATGTGAGGGAGGATGATGAAAAAATGTGCAGGCTGTATGAAAGGTGTAGTTTCCTAAAGAAATTAGTCCGCACTGATGAAGGGAAAAAGGCCCGTAGTTGAAGCATGGATGTTATGTTTCTTGGAGATTAGAAAACGCTTTGCATGCTGTAGCGTTCTTGTAGTGTAAATAATAATCCTACCTTTGTGCTTAGCAAACACTGTGAAGTTGGCGTCACCTGTTGATAACTTCATGCACTTTGGCCTCTGAGCACATTGTTTTTGGTGGTTGGATGCAATTAAACAGTCTGACTTGCATCATGTATCTTGACAGCTTTGAAAGGTGACTAAGCTGAATTTGGTGAGAAGCAAATGGAAAAATTGTCTAGAATAAGCACACTGAAATGGAACATGAAATAGCTAGAAGAAAATGCTTTGTGAGGTTCTGTTGCAGACATGTTTTGGTTTATTCTTTGTTAAGGTTAATAAATGGACCTGCTCTTGTCTAATGTAGAGTCGGAGTATCTAAATCATGGTAATAAAAAAATATTAACTGAAAGACCCTCTTTGAGACAAGAGCTGCTTAAAAGAGCTGCAACTAAGTCTAAAGAAATGAACATGGTAAGAATTTTAATACTTACAAGAGTTCTCCTGAGTGCTTTTTTCATTGAAGTGTTCAGCATTAATTTTGTTTTGCAAATGGCAGACCTTGTGTCTTTTGTCCTGTACAACATATTGGCTCTTTTAGTTGACGCTGGAAAGCCTAATTCTTGAACGTCGCACTTTCTGCTCTTTAACTGTACCACTTAAATCCTTCAAACTCTTGAGGACCATTTAGATACACTACTGGGAATATTTTTTGAAAAATCTTAGTTGTAGCATAAGTGAAAGATGGATTGTATTATTACAGTAACTCTATTTTAAGAAATTTCTCTTTACTCCGGGAGTTGATGCATCATTTTAATGCAGGATTTTAGTTAGGTCTATTTGAACGTGTTGAAGTAAATCTTCTGGCCCTTCTTAAAAATGATTGCTTAGAAACTTTCTGAAAGTTCTTTTCTCTTATGTTCATGATGTATATGGTGTGTCAACTGCTTTCATGCTTGAGAAACTAGATTTTTCTTTCTCTATAAGAATTACTATATATACTGTGCTTGCAAAAAAAAAATCTATGGGCTGTACTGGAGAAATGATTCTTCGGGTGGGAAAACTGAGACACCTTTAGCTTCAGGACTGTTATGTTATCATATAGACTTGATTTTACTTTATCCTTAAAGTTTTGATGTGGTGATTTTTCATTTTGGTTTTGTAGTTAGTGAATGCGTGTTTGGACAACAGATGACTGGAAAGAAGGTGGGTTATACTCAGATGAATGTTTTGTTTGACAAGGATTGGACTTATGTTGCACACTGCTTGACAAATACTTCTCTTTAGAAATGGCAAGTTGTAGCATCTTGCTCAAAGATTTAATTAAAAATGAGGTTATGTTTACTCAGCACATGTTGGAGTTAATTATAGATATACTAAAATGAAAAGCTTCATGTTTTGCCAAGTCAAGAGCAAAAGCTTAAGTAATTATACAAAGAATAGGGTATGGTTTATGATCCCAGCACATCTTTAGGCAAAATTCCCATGAAAATGGAAGTGTGTGTATGTAGATGTATAGCAGCACTTGTCTTTGTATGGGCTAGACCAAGTTTCCCTTTGTGTTTGTTGTCAGAAACAGTTCTTAAATGCTCTGAGTGCATTGATCAGGGAAAATAAATAAAATGCAGTTGAATAATAGCCAGTTGTAAGCAATCTGTGTGATGCTGTTTCTTTGATGTGTGAAGCAAAAGTGCAGGTGAGTGGGGTGTGTGAGCAGTGGTGGCAGCAGGGAGGCACTGATCTCTGCAGCACTCAAATTCAGGTTTGCCAAACACTACCCTTTCTTTCCGAACAAAAAGTGAGGCTTCCATTTCTAATTAATATTTCTGTGTTCTCTTGATACCTCT